TATCAAATTTTAAGGAAATATATATACCTGATTCTTTATTTTTTCCAAATCGGCTATGATGGAAGCTCGTAGAGGTAGAGCTTCATCGCGTTCGGCTTTCAGTTTAGCGGCGATTACATTTTCCAGCCAGGTTTCTCCTGCTAAACCGTACAATTTGTTTGAACCGGAAGTAAAGTCTTCGATTGATAAATGTACACTCACAGCTCTGCTTTCTGCCAAGTTTGTTCTTGTTTCCGATAAACTGCTCGCATAATTAAAATGAATTATATGAAGTCTCATAATTTAAATATACGACTGTGAGAAACAAGTAAAAGCGAAATACCGAACGCGACTAGCAACGAGATCTCCGTTTCTACCGAGGGAAACAATCATTTCCCCAAAGCGCGAAGAAATAGCGCACTTAATACCCCCTTTGCTGCGATGGTGTGGCATGAAAACCGCAATCACTTTGCGAAGTTCCATGCTATCTCTGACTACGATCAAGCCATCATATCCATATGTTAAGACTCGAGAATCAGTCATATATATTCCAATATTCCTCATCTGATGGATCGAAAAGAGTGCTTCCGTGAGGATGATATCTTGAAAGTCGTCCTGCGAAAAAAATTTAATGAATTCTTTTTTTCAGGATCTGAATGGAAAATATAAAAAGGATTTTAAAATAACGATTATAAAGTGGTTCTCTTGTGTGAAAACTCATCATACAACATAATTTGAATATTTTTAAGATAATCTAAATTTAATTAAAGTTTAATTAAAAATAATTGGTTGCTTTTTTTATTAATAGTAAGAAACGGTGATGTAACTCGACTTATACCTGTATCTCCATTTGATGTAATTGTTTAGATAAAGAGGGTATACCCAGTATATTCAAAGGCTTATTCGTTCCGTGATAGAGCATCCTGAAAGGTCTTAATAAATCTATCGCACAAATGGCACGCGTGTAGAAATTGTTTGAGATCTCACAAGTGTACACGATTACTTTATTACCGCCGATCGATGCCATGGAAGGATTAGTCGTTGCAAGAACTAAGATTTCGAAGCGACCATTATTCCTCTTGTATATCAGAAAATCAGCAACCTGCAAAAAGAGAGAAAAATAATTAAATTTTACTCACTTACATATTGTTTATAAATATAGATTTTACATCCACATTTTTTGTGGTTTGCCATATATAATTGCTAACTTCTCTGTATAATTTATATAATTATCTTACATATCCATCAATTTCTATAAATCCAAGAACATCCACAGGCTGTTGTTCAAATCGTTTGCCAATAATAAATAATTTGCCAGTTTGAGAACTGCCAATTCCTAAAAATTTGCCACAGTGCGAGAATTTTATTCTATCCAAAACATCACCGTAAAGATGAAAGCAGTTAAAGATTTTAGGTAATGATGTGATATCGATAAAAATGCAATTGCCAGCAACACTACATGCCACAAGCATTGATAAAGTAGGATGTGAATCTGCACGAACAACTGGAATTAATATGTAATTCTAATTAACAATATGTTAATTGTCGCGTAAAAATATAAGAAAATTATTTTGTCAAAAAATTATTCTCTCTATATATATACATATACAGGGTGCGGCATTTATAGTGACGCGGGCATATTTTTCGGAAACGAAGTGAGATATCAAAAAATGTTTCAGACAAAAGTTGCATGGTTTCGAGGGGGCCACATGATAAAAATATGGATTTGACCACATAAAAGTATTACTGTAAGATTATCGAAAACTAAATATTTTACGAGATATTTTATTTTTTATATCAAAATATGTCAGATTAAAATATAAAATAACTCAAAAAGTACTTAATGAAAAAATACTTTATTATAGTGTTTTGGAAAGCTCTCGAGGTAAGCTATAAGAATATGTAATAAAAAATGGGGACTTCCGTTTAAGAAAACATCGACCACATTGACCTCTCCTTGAAAAGACCACTTAAGGTCAAATCCATATTTTTATCATGTGGCCCCCTCGAAACCATGCAACTTTTGTCTGAAACATTTTTTGATATCTCACTTCGTTTCCGAAAAATATGTCCGCGTCACTATAAATGCCGCACCCTATATATATAAATTAAATCGAACGATTCAGATATTTAAGACAGTAAATCGAATAAGTTATATTTATATTATCTTAAAAAAAGAGATAACAAATCTGATATAAAGAATAATTATTCTCTCAAATGTTTTATATAAAAGACTATATTTGATATTTTACCTTCACCATGATGTTTCAGAGATAATCTCGCTGTCAATTTTCCGGTTGATACCTCAAAAATGCAAAGACGATCTAACCGATCTATCGCTGCGACGTGATCTGCGCGTTGAGATATAGAAAACAGTGCTTTGTATTCTATCTCATCCGTATAAATAATTTCGATGTGAGGAACGTTGTCGTACTGCGTACTGATCTCAAAAATCTCTCCGCTATTGGAGTGAAATAAAATCCCATCTTCGAAATAATATTGCCTTCCTACTCGAATAGAATGGAAAGTCGAAATCGACCATACGAATTGCCATGACACGTTCCAATCCGCCAATGATTTCTTATAAAACTAAAACGTAAATATAATAATATAATATAATGTTATAATAATTATAAATCCGATAATAATTAGACTTTTATAAAAAAAACAGCATTATTGTTAATTTTATTTATATTAAATAAAAATTTATCGAATCAATATACGCACTGTAATTTCACTATCAGTATTCACAACTATTACGCCAGTCCTATAAGTGATAACAATCGGTCTATTCTTCGATGGTTCGAGCGTTTTCGATTTTACCACCGAGTACAGTTTGTTAGCATCTATCGCTATAAGCCATACGTTGCCGAACTCGTCCGAGGCAAATAGGTTTCCTTCCGGCGTCCAGGATGAGGATACAATTTTATGTTCCGGAACTGGCACATCCACGTGATGTATACTCACGATTTTCGAGCACGTGCGTATTTGACAGATTGAGAGCGTGCCGTCGACGATTCCAAGTTGCGATATCAAATGTGGAGGATTCGGCGAACAGCTGAAAAAATTATCAATTTCAATTTTGGAAAAATAAAAATGTTATAAAGCATATATATCATTTTTATACCAAATTTCTTGAACAAGATCGTGAATCTTCATGTTAAGCATAGCGACGTGCTTGCCGGTCTTCCAGAGCCACACAATCAGTCGAAAATCAGGGAAATTAGTGAGGCTTATGAGATATTCTGTACCAGCAAAAGAACAGGATGAATAACCATTGATTTTGTCGGGTAGCACGCATCTGGAAATTCTTCGTAGCGTTGGGTATATAAATATCGATATCTTGGGATTAGATTTTCTTTCGACTACGGAAAACATGGAAACTGTCTGCAAGATTTAAAATATATAATGTCATCGAAAAATAAATAACAAAAATATATGACAGTAATACATTTGCTACTTTTTTCAGACGTTCAATAATCCGAATGAATAAACATATTATAAATAATTGCATTACCGGATGTCCAGCCAAACACGATGCGCCATCGCCCCTTTCCTTGCTGTCGAAACGCTCGATTCGCCTTTCTCTCGTATTCAGATCCAAAAAACTCACGTAAATACCGGAAGCCGTTGCAATGGTTTCCTTTCCAACGAAAACAAAGTCATGAGATTTTCCGAACTTCACCCACCTGCAATAATAATGGTGAATAAAAAATTGTTGTAGTTAACTTCCGTGCTACATTTAAAGACAGAACGCACTTTGTTTCGGTTACCGAAAGATTCATTTCCTTTAATTTGTTAGTGTATCTAGGACATTCTCGTTGTTTGTGCACTATCTCAGTTATAATTTCACTTTTGTATGGTAAGTAAATCTTGCCTGCGGGTAACCAGTGTTTGGTTGCTCAGAGACCCAGATAGGCTAGTGTATCGATCGGGATGGCCGTATAGACTATATTTAACAATCTTTTCCAATGCATTTGTAAAGATTCACGTATTTTATTTTTATAGGAATTAATTTTATAATTTATTAAATTATATAAATCGTTTGTTCATTGACGACAATTAAATATAAATTAATTTTTTTGCTAATAAATATTTATCTAAAAAATGCTTATAAAATTATATGAATAATTGATTTTTCTTTGTTTGATTCTAAAAAAATTGATAGGATGATTATTTTAAGGGAACGCTATAATATAGCAGAATATTTGTTCATTTTCGTACGTGTTTTGGTTGTCGAAGAACGCAGACGGACATATACGATCGTCAAGACTTTCATCGGGTAAAACATTTGCATGCGTCCGGAAGATAATAGAATCATTAAAAGAATGCCACACTAATGCCATTTAAAAGTATGCCACCGGATCAAAGTATTGTAGAAGACTTGAAAAATAGTGACACCGTTATAGACTGCATCGTCCAGTACATAATAATAGATCCCACGCTTTTAAACTTCCTACTATCATTTCCGCGCTTTTTTAATAATTTTATAAAATTAATATGAGAAATGCAAATATCACGCTTTTGATGAATAAAAACGTTAAAACATGATTTAATTTTATTCTTTCTAATACAATTACTGCAAAAAAGGGATCAGATATTCTTCTATTTACTTAGTTATTAATAGTAGTATTAGAAATCTATTATTGTTTTAAATTAATATATAAATATATAATGATATTATTATTAATAGTTATTAGTAGCCTTTATTAGTTAATTTGTTATTAATAGTTAGTTAAAATAAATATAATAATAATAAGAAAAATGACTTATTATTTATAATTCATTTGCAATATAAGATTGCAACACCAAAACATTTTTTTTTTATCTGAAAGATAATGGTAAAAAATTTTGGCAGACGACAGCGATCGATCGATGGTTGTGGTGGAAGTGTCAAAGGGGCACGATGGAATAGTAACCTAATAACGTGAACCTCGTGCCCCTTCCGAATGCGAACGGCATATATAGAGGAAGCAAAGGCGACGATTTTTTATTCACAAACGTTGATCGACGTGAGTGTCTGCCAAGAGGATGACGAGAGCTTCGTGAGCTTGCCACTCGGTCAGAACGTTTTGTAGTGAATAGATTTTTGTGTTTAGTGCAGAGGTGAATGAGATTTGCGAATGAGCAAATTTATAAGGAAAAAATTTATAAAATTAAATTCCTGAAGAACAAATAAGCAGCTAAAAATCACCGTCATTCTTAAAAGTGGAAAAGTGGATCTTTCTTTAAGTGGAATTAGTCAACGTATGTATATTCGATAAATTCACATCATCCTGTTTAGCTTTGTCACTAAGTGCTTATCTCATTAAAAATAATTTTATTATTATTATCTTTGTATAATTAAAAATTTTTTAAAATGACTATTATATATTTAAAAATTTTATATATTGTAAGTAAAAATATAATGATTAAATAATAATTGATTTAATTAATAGTGAGAGATATAGTAATAATGATAAAACATCGAGTTATACTGCAAGAATATTCGCTGTAGAGCTGCAAATTGCAACTGTTTTATCATTCTGTATTCGTAAATTAGGGTCATTGTTGAAATGACCGCTGAAAAGGGGCGAAGACCGCTACTCACTTAGTATGCGCCGCAATTGCTTGCATTTCGTATTCAAGAGGGATCTTTTGCACTCATCTAGAAGGCATCTCGTGTCGTGCTTGTTTGTACTACTTGTCCATCCTTTTTTTCTAATTAAAACAACATTAATTTCACAAAAGATTATTTTAGAAATTTCTAATTCGCCGCCTTATCTAAAGATATATAGATTTATAAAGAATCCATATTTATATATTTTTCAATAATTACTCTAATAATAGTTATTCTTAATCACTGATTAATTATTTATAATTCTACAAAATGTGTGATTGGACAGTGTTATCAGATGTTTTATTTTACACAGCATTATTTGTAAAATACCAATAAAAATCTGTTTTGCGATTTTCAGAAATCGCTTATAATATTTTCTTCTTGCAGATATTCATTCTTTTTCAACAATTACTTACGCTCAAAATGATATCTCATTATCAAACACGAAAGCATCAATTCGGCTGGATTCCAGGAGTTTTTCTGCTCTCTCTCGTTTTGGTCTCATCTCACGAAATTGTGCCTCCGAATCATCAGGGTACACCAGATGCATCAACCTTGAAAATAGAGGCCAGAGAATCCGAGGCATCGATAATTCTAGGAAAGGATCTTGTTCTCGGCCCACCTTTGTCGACTAGAGCATCGATCATCGCTAATTTCAGCAACTCCGACGACATTGCGTCGACAAAAGTTAATTCCCTCGTAGATTCCACGATCGTTAATCGGATATCTTTTGGAGAAAATCCCAAAAGTGTTCTCCGGAAACCCTCCGTGTCGAAGAATGAGACTTCTCGAGGATCTTATATCGTCGACAGCCTTTATCGAGCCAACAAAGGCTCGAAGACTGCGTGGAAAAGAGACAGCTATCTCGAAGCACTAAGACACTCGCGTAACAGCGACGATCCGCGAGAAGGAATCGTGCAGATCGACTTAAAGACGAATACGAACAGAAGGGAATATGTGCAGGGGCCCGTTTACAGGCCGGAAACGGAGTACGGTTCGCCCGAATCGCCGTACGCATCCAAGAATCCGCGAATCACATACGGGGGACCTAGCGATTCTTATCCCCAATCTTTCAAACAGTCAATGGGCTACAACGATAATTACAATACTCCGCAGAATTCTTACGGTCCACCGCAGAATCCGTACGGACCGTCGCAAGATGGTTCTTCGTTTTATCCGCAGACTCCTTCGTACAGACCTCCCGGGAATTCTTATTTACCACCGCAACAAGATGAGATCAAAGGTAGTGTCATACAGTCGATCTATTGCTAAAATTTTGATAAAATTTATAAATATATTATTAAAAAGATTTAATTATTTTTTCTCTTTTTGTTTTCTCTCTTTTTTATTTATAATTATCATTATTATTAATTTACGAATTATAATAAATGCAAGTTATGCAAGCGTATTATTTGTTTAATGCAAAATCATTTTTCGTAGCAAAATTTTTTTTTCAGTTTAAATGTTACATTTTTTAGCTCTTCTTAATCACTTGACTAATTATTTCCTGTTTTGTTTTAGGATATGGTCCTTCTATACATACTTCTATTCCAACTCCAGTCTATGGTGCACCTTATGCACTACCGGAAGTATCTTACATTTCCCTTCTGCCGAGTTTCAATCTAGGATTGCCATTCGCCCTCAAATTAAACGCATTCACCATTGCAAAAATCATATTAAAATTAGTGATCTTCAAGATGATTGTGAAATTTATCGCGGTAATTTGCTTGTTACTCTTCATACCGAAACTGGAGATAATCAAGAAAAAGATCTCTAATAAAGGTGACGACGATGAAGAACGTAGTTTATCATCGCGTAAGTTGTTAGATTAATTTACAGAGTATCTCTGAATCTTGGATTGAATTTCAGTGCTTACCTGAATTGTAATAAATTAATTTTCGATCTAAAACATTGATTCAGGTTTATCATCTCTTTAATTTCTCTATTATTGTCTAATGGTATTTTATATTTTTCAGCTTATACGAGTTTGGAAACACTAAACAGTCTCGAAGGCGTGGTAAAAAATTCTGTCGAGAAGTACGAGGCGCAAAACAGTGCTCGTTCAAATTCGACGGAGAAATGCACGACACTTACGTGTCGCATCACCGAAGCGCTTACGTTCCACGAATCTTGGTATGACTACTTGAATTTATTCAACAGCTTCGTGGAGGAAGAGAGGCAGCTAACAGAACAGAAAGAGCAGTGAGAAGTTTACATTATCATCGAATTTCATTGTGTGTCGCGTCATCTTTCTATTCATAATTATTTATTTAATATATTTATTTATCTACATTTTATAAAAAAAAGATATTTTTTTTCTCGATATTTCTCCTGAATACTCAATTCATAATCCTAATTTTTGATCATGATTAAAACAGTTTAAAATGTCATATCTTTTAACCATGATCAAAGAATCCTTTGCAAAATGCTGCAAACAGAACATTACTGGATCAATCTTGTAATTGACGGCATCCGAGACGTTTAGAGAAGATTACAGGAATGATCTTTTTCTTCAGACATGACACCGAGATTATTTGGTGTCATTACGTACTAATTGTAAATAGTGAAGTGCACAAGTGCGCTGGAAAAAAAAAAGATTTTATCTGAACAAGTTACTTTTAATCTCCTTTTTTTTAAATAATCAAATATATGGATATATTAACATAAGCACGTGATGTTCAATATTCTTCTTATTTATCAGACAGTAAATTACTTTCGTTCAGAAATATAAAACATATTTTTTAAATGAAAATAGAATAAAAGTTGAATATCAATTTGTAAAAGCAATTAGGTTAAATTACACACCTAGATTTATATAATTTAATCTAAATTTAGAGTATATTTATATATTTATATTTGCAATATTCCTTGTATTGTTTAATTGATTAGCTGCAATCTATAGTTTCTTTAATGTATTGAGTATATTATATTTGGAAGTAAAGTGCCATATACAGCATGATTAACTCGACTATCATGATCCAAGCATAATGCATCCTACTCTCAATTCCTCTCAGGTGGGGATGGGGATTTAACTCGGTTTATAAACGTAGCATGGTGACACGATATGCCAGTCCTCTCTTGATTGCCATTCGCCGTGTCAGGAAATCGTCACCGAGAAATTTCAACCGAGACATCACTGATCAGTCGAAACGATGGAGGTAGCAATTATAGTTGGTACGAAAACTGCATCGAGTTAATTTAAGATTTTGTAGCAAAAACATCGCGATAATCTCCGTAATTAATTAATTATTAATCAAATTCAAATGCGTGATGTACACAATTGTTTAAATTATTAAAGACGTTCGGACAAATATTTGAAAATCTCATTAAATTGTTGATAATTTAGTTTAATAATTTATTTTTTGTGTATATTTAAAAATATTATAAGTAAGATTTGATGATACAAATATTCTTTTATATCTACAATTCTCTCATTAGTTGATTTTATAAGTTTGATTAAAAGTTTTGATCGTTTTTCCATGATTTTTATTAAAGTCTGTTTTGTTAGAAACAATTTTAAATCTCAAATGTATTAATTAAAAAGAGGGCATTATTAAAATTTATGATAAATTCTTGGTGTTATTGCCATATATGTACGCGCACCTTTCGCCTCACACACATTGATCTAAAATCCAGTTTTACTTGACCTCGATCGCGATATTACATCATTAAAATCGTTTAATTAAAAGCGATAAAAAGGGCAATTTTTGGGTTTTTTTTTCCGATTGATTATTTATTAAAACTGTTATTAACGCAAAAATTATTTGAGATTTTGAAAGAAATCTCTAACTGCAAAAGATCAAGGAAAATATCTTTAAACATGCGTGGGCGTAAGTGTCCTTGAGCGAAGAAACGTCGTAATCGCGTCGCAAGGAGCGAGTTCATCTTGATTTAAAATACCTTGATTTCAATAAAGGCGCAATCATCCAATAGAGATGCGTATTAAGGCCACGCAGCATCCCAACGAGATGCTAAGCCACTATCAATTGATTTACGTAATACCGTTCTCCACAACTCGTCAACGGGGAAAATTTTCGAAAATTGCATCGATCATTCAAGTAACATATTAATGACAAGATTAATCTCTTGTGACTATTAAAGTATGTTATCAACAGCTTTATTGAGAGAAACTTTAGAATAATTTCGTTAATTGCAATTGCCATTTTAACAAAAATCTATTCTATTATGTTATAAAAAACATTCATTAGAAATTTGTAAAAAATTTGATAAAGATATTTTTATGAATTAATTTAAATTTCCTATCCTCTTTCTTTAATCTTTTCTAGCATTTGCGTTCCTTAGCATGTTCACGTTCTGCGAGGACACGTATGCTCTTCCCGATGACGCAAAAGCAACCACCATAAAGGAGATAAAGGAACCTAAGGACATAAAGGAAGCGGCGACCGCTTCGAAGGATGTAAAGGATGCTATTAAGGCTGCCAAGGATGCGAAGAAGAGTAAGAAGGAGTGCGCCCGAGAATGCGGGGACGATTACGATCCTATTTGCGTTCACGATCCTGCCGATTCCAACTTTAAACCAAGGACTTTCAGCTCGCAATGCATTTTGGATGTTCACAACTGCGAGATGGGAACGAGTAAGTATATATTCGAAAAAAATAATATTTTATTAATTTTCTATATAAAATTTTATATATTAAATAATAAAAATTATAATCATACACACGTTCACTATCCCTCAACATCGCAGAATGGGCTGTGAAGAGCAAAGGAGCATGTCCTGGATCCGGCGGAGTAAAACTGTCTTAAACAATCGCTCGATTTCAGGGGATCATCGAGAAACCGCAAAGTAGACCGTCAAATTAATCGTTATATCTTGTTTTCGCGAATTTATTTAGTTTAATTGTAAGCAAAATATCATAATATATTGTAACCCGATGCGACTCTTTCCACAATTATAGACTAGACATAATTACTAAAAGAAGAAAATACTAGATATATAATTACGCGAGAAAATCTCTCTGACAATAAAATTGGTCACCAAATTATATGCTATATACAATTACATAATGTAAAAGTCACAGTGCGTCTATCTAATAAATATTAATAATGAGCAACTATTGATTTTGTTTCTCATAATCACTTCCTTTTCTGCGACTTTGACACACTCGTGTTGATTCTGGTATGTGATTTCTAATTTATGTAAATCGATACACTGAGTATTGAATTTTAAATATATGTACATTTGAATCGGCTTTCTAATGACGACTATGATCTGTTCTAACGCAAATACAAAGTTAGTTAAATGTATTCTTAATTCTGGAGTAATTTTTATTTTTGACACCTGTTTTATTTTCTGTTTTTATTACACGCAACTTATGCAGTTATGTAAGCGTAATCGATTATATATTGTATGTATCTTTATTTCAAGATTTTTGATTTTTCACCATTTTTATTTTATGCTATATATTTTGTTGAAAAAAAATATTTTTTGAGACGATTTGCCTTTAAGATTCTTCTTTGCATCATAAATAATAATTAAAAATTTTGTTTAAGATATTAAATGCAGGGGTTTCTTGCCATTATTAATTTCCATATTGATTATTTTAATACTATAAGAAAAAGGAAATGTGTGACTAAGTATGATGTAATCTTTATCTTATTTCTTTCTTCAACATATATGTATCAATATTGATTATTTTAATACTATAAGAAAAAGGAAATGTGTGACTAAGTATGATGTAATCTTTATCTTATTTCTTTCTACAACATATATGTATCAATATTGTATTATATAATATATTTCCGTCGCTTTTTCGCAGCTGCATTGTATGATGTCGACACATTCCAGACAAGTTGTTATTACCGATTGATAAACAAATGTAACAACTTTGTAATTCATCTTCTAGAGGGCTAAACAGAGATAAAGAGATATTATTAATTTAAATTACAGATGAGAAAATGGCCAAATTTGAATTTATTCAATATATCTTTCATATATATTTTATTATACGTCTTGTTTCATGGTTGTTATTATTTCTGTTAATTTAATTAATTATACTAAAATTTAAAAGTATCGCAACATAAGAAATCAATTAATTATATGTAATTTACTCTAATGTTAAAATATATTACATCTATATATAGAATGATTTTATGCCAATTAATTATTTTTTAGAAAAAGATTCGGTAAAGATAATTTTCTCATAAATTTCATAAATGTCAGAAGCATTATGTTGCTAAGCACATATGAACGGCGCATGTGCATTAAAGAGCGTAATTTGTACGGGCGGGGCTATTGTCCGTCAATCTTCGTTGTAACGAGTTTACCTTTCAAATCAATGCACAAGATAATGAGGATGCGACCGCGAGCGATGAAGAATGACGGCCGGCCGCGCGTCCTCAGTCCGGTGCACTTTGTCCCACCTACAATGTGTCATCATCTGGTCCGGGTGACGCGTGACATGACCGACTTATCTTCAAAACTTTACTGCGTAATTGTTCTCTTCTCGTTATGCGAGACGAGAACGTACCCTCTAGTCTCGTACACCTGCACGACCGCAAGCACGCGGACACTAACAGGTAATCAATCGCACGAATCAAATAGTTATCGGCGACTGGATCTAATAGTAGAAATCGATACCAAAAAAATGCGAGAAGTAATTTGAATCGAAGTCTTATAAAGTTAATAATTATATGCTATACCGTTGAATATTACATAGATTGAGATCGCAAAATATTATTTGTATATAGATTTACGCGTTATCTATGAAGAACACGCTTTCAAAAGTTCTAAAGCTGAAAAAACGAGATTTTTGTAAAAAAAAGGCTAAATTAAATGCATAAAATTTTCAAAATTGTAATTCTTTTTTTTATATCATTTTTTCTGTATCGTCTCACTTGTCGATACGATTTAAAATACGCGACTTTGAATCTTGAAATAAAACATCCCATATAAGCGCAGATACGGAACATTCATCGACGTCAGAATCGGTGTCAATCTTCGAAGAGATGGAGAACCGATTGTCGAGCCTCGAGCGGAGACTGCGAGCGGTCGAGCAGCCGGGTAAGAGTCTCGCGATTCGCATACTCGATGAATAAAAAAACACACCCAATGCTCTTGCAGTTTGGCAGATCAGCCTGAGGGAAGAGGATTGGGAGATTTGCGCCGAGGGACCGTGCAAATGCGTACCGGAGATGAAATTGGTGTCCTGTTGGAGATACGATCTGCTGGACCTACCTCCGATGCAACTGGTTCCCGCCGATGTATTGAAACTGTAAGCGTCTCTTACAACAATCTAAAAAGCCTTGAATAACTTTTTTCTTAAATGAAAAAAATGCATATTTTAAACTTTATTTTCCATTGTTTATTGCAATTTTTTATAACAGATATTTCTGACTTTTCTCATAGAGTATTACTATTGCAGTCTCAATATAAATGCTTTGAGAGTGGAAATCACTTGTTTGACATGCCTTTTACAGGGATCTCGGGAATAACCGGCTTAATGCTCTACATAGAGACACATTTAGAAACATGACGCGACTGCACCATTTGTAAGTGATGTAAGTAATGACCGCGTAATGAGACTTCTAACGAGATGACGAATTATAGAGATCTGAGCAGCAACCTTATCGAGCATTTAGCATCGAATTTGTTCCTGCCGCTGCACGGTGTTGCAAATGTCAGGCTTAGTAACAATCTGTTGAAGGAGATGCAACGAAATCAATTCTTCGGGTTAAGGAATCTTCGAATACTGTATGTCAGACATTCAACGACAGAAAAAATAATTTTTATATGTCAAAAATCTATATATGTAAAAAATTTATAATTGTAAAAACTTGTAACGTAAAATTACGACAAGATTTCTAAATTAAATTTCAGTTAGCAATTGAGAGAGAAATCAATCATAAAATAATGAAAAATAGATATCACTTTATAATTTAATTAAACGTTTAGAATATTAGATATATTCTGTAAATATGTACATTAAAATTTAAATTATATTTAATAATATCTTATTTTATTTTACTTAGCGATCTGTCATCGAACAAACTCCGTTCTTTACCGGAAGATCTTTTCCTGAGCAACAGACTTTTGGCTTTATTGGATCTTTCGTCGAATCGTATCTCGTCGTTATCTCCTGGTACGTTTCGTGGTCTTGGGAATCTCGAGGAATTGTTGCTCGGTAAAAACCGGTTAACCGGATTACCCGTTCCAATTTTCCGAGATACGATTAATCTCAGACGTCTCGCACTCGAGGAAAATCGTTTGAAAGAACTGCCTAACGGTATATTAAAAGATTTAACTTCTCTCAAAGAGTTAGATATGAGAGATAATCGATTGACAGAAATATCTAAGGGATTGTTGTCGGCCCTCGTACAGCTAGAACTTCTGGAAATATCGAGCAATAGAATATCTCATGTAAATATCATAAATTCATTTACATTTCTTATTTTTAAAATCATAACACTAATATATACATCATAAATTTATAAGTTTAAAGTTATAAAAATATTTTCTTATAAGAAAAAAATTTATATCTTATAATATTATGAAGATTAATATTGATTAATGTTTTTAAAAGGTTATCTTTCTCTTTAAGTAGTTTTGTTCTTTGTGATAGATTGATACAAGAGCCTTTCTCAGCATGACAGCGCTTCGAGAACTTCGACTAGGACATAATCATATAAAATATTTGTCACCTGGATTATTCAACAACTCTGTATCTTTGGAACGTCTTATCCTCTATGGAAATCGTATAGAAATCTTAATAAGAGGCGTCTTTCGCGGATTATCTAATGTCACCTCTCTTTTCTTGCAATCTAATCGATTAAGATTAGTGCAATCAGGAGTTTTCGAGGATACGCCGAGATTGCAGAAATTGTGAGTCGATACTTGACTTTTTTTGATAAATATACAATTTTCAATTTAATATTGAAAAATATTAATTTTTTCTTCTTCAATGCTTAATTTTTACAAAGAAATATTTAAATTAATAAAAGAGAGATATATTTTTTTTTTAATTCTATAATACCATATCGTGTTTCTTTAGGCAATTGGAGTCAAATGACTTCTCTTTTTTGCCAGCTGGCAGTTTGGATGCAATACCGATGATTCAACAGATACGTCTAGGTCGAAATCCTTGGCATTGCGACTGCCGTGCCTCTTATATCGCCTCTTGGTTACGCAGGAGATTCGCCAGCTTCGCGAATCTGACCAACCCGTTACAGATACAACAAGCTTTGATCTTGACAGGCAATTGGAGTATCTGGGAATTTGGAGCTGGTGCAACTTGTAGAGGCCCTGGTATTCTAGGTGATCAGTCGCTGCTGCGTCTGACCTTTCACGAACTCTGTGAGGGTCAATGGGCTTCCATGAAGGGTATCGTACCTCGGTTACCTCTCGACGCTATGATGCCATCCGTTACGTCGCGTGAGATCAGAAAAGACACAATTTTAACATGATCTTGGTAGAATTTTGGTATAATCTGATTTAATACTATATTTCTGGATTATTATTTTTATTTTACGGTAGTGCAATAATCTTAAAATGAAATGTAAGCAAATATAAAAACACATTTCTAAACTTTTGTACAATCGACATTACATTTATAGTTTTATATATTAAATTAATACGTAAAGATAATTTAAAAGTAATTATTATACATATATTTATTATAATATTGATAATATATATTATAATATATTGTCGCAGATATAAAAAACGTAAAATTCAAATACACGAGTTTGTGTCTATGAAGCATAGAATACCACGTGATATTATTAATTAAATATTTAATAATGATTGAACAATGATTATAACAAGCCTCCTTCTTATAATGAAACTTGCATCATTTCTAGTTATATTTTTTGTTCCTATAAGGAATGCAACATGAGCAAAATACATTCGTGTTAATAACTTCACTGTGTGATAACGCAACTTATAATATTTGTAATTATAAAATATAAATTATAAATTATATTATAAAATGACAATATAAGTCAAATAAAAATTCGATTATAAAAAAATACTTTATATTAAAAGTGCGTTATTGCAAACTATTCTCAAAATTACGTCCTTGCGTTTTTCATCTATTTTAGAATAAATAAAACTCTTTAGTAATTTATTTCAACAGTCATCAAATTATGCAATAAATTTATATATAAATCTAAAATATTACTCTAAAAATTTAGAACGCTGATATAGGTTCATGCATTTCCGCTATATTTTTATGCGATTCGAGGACAGGCAAAATGCATGCGTTGGCATGAGCGTGACGGATGTATATGGAGATAAATGTAATTGGCACGTGTGAATGGAATTTCTGCAGCGATGGAACGATGAGTTGCGGAGATTCACGATCATACGATGTGTTTTCAATGATCGCGACAGAGAGCAATCCCCTCATAGGAAAGAAATGGAAGGGGACTAACAAACAAAACCGATGGATTTGTTGACTGGTTAGTCAGTGGGCTCGCTCGCTTCGTTTCACTGTACACTTTACGATGGCTGAGAGTGAGTCAAGCACCAGCAATGTCGTCACGATGTTGGAGGATCTTCTGAGGATTCTCAAAGAAGAACATGTTTTCGATCGATCCGACGATCAACGTGTCGTACAATTTGTGCATCCCGAAGTGTTACAGGTGAATATTAGTTTGATTTCTCACGTTAAAACGTTATTCGTGCGTATCCGCTGTTCAATCTTTTTTACGCTGTGAGGGATATATTTTACATCTTAATATTATACCTATTAATGCGTTTGTATTCGTATTTTTGTTGTCATTGTCACCATTTTATACACTATAAAAATATCCGTCTTATGTCATATTTTTGTTATCTTTGTGGTTTAATTAACAATAAATCCAATAAACAATTAATAAAGTTTAATATTATATAACTTTAAATAAGGTAAAATACAAAGGAGATCATCTATGTATATAGTTCTCAATCTACTCGCGCGCGATTAAGGAGGCAAGTGCATTTAAAAAATTATTAATTATTTCAATTTTAAACAATGTATAGAGATCGCGAATTTTTTGATTGCTAGAATTTTTGCTTTAGACACAGAATATATTTGTTTCATTTGTCTCATTGCTAATTCAAATATCATTTTGTTTGAACACTTTTTTCATCCAATCTTGAAAACAGAATAGATATTGTAATAAAATCTATGCTTTTTTAATTAATCGCTTAACAATTCTTGTTAAGCATAAACATTATATATAATATAAACGATAGAATCGTTAAACGATTAATTAAAAAAACAAATTTTATTACAAATTTTATTATCTATTTTATTTTGTGCTTATTGTATATATCTAACGTAAATATCTGCAATGCAACCTACATAGATAGCGATAGATTAGCGTAAAAAGATATTCTATAATGCACGATAGATTATTTGCTTGTAAAATGTTTATTAACATGATACGATTATTAGAACATAAAAATATTCCCGATGTAATTGTGAGGTCAACGATTATAATATTAATATCGTTGTTATCACCATGTGCAGCGTTGGCCAGACGAATCATCTCTTTCTTCGAAGAATTTTTATATGCACGACAACGTATCGTTCTTCTAAGGCTGATATTATATTTGTCGTATGACGAATTTGTCAGGTATAGCGATTGGCTATCAAACAAAAAATTTCTAGAGTCTTTATCAAAATTCTAAGAATTCTTTTTCTAATAGCCAACTGATACATTCAACAAATATTTTGTCGTATGAATATAATATCAGCCTAAGTTGATTCATTAATAGATAATTTGTAAGAACAAAAAATATTTCTCTCCAAATTAATGAATTTACAAATTCGATAAATTTGATTATTTTGACTGATGTAATTGAATATAAAAATTATTTCGGATAATAAATTGTCGTATTATTTCTAGCGGATGCTTAAAAGAATATCGGATTATAAAGATTCTGTAGTGATAAAATACTAATTTTGACGATAGAATAATCATCGTTCCTTTCTAATCAAATTGTGTTATTTTTGTATAGGATAAGATACCATTTTCTTTGGATAAAAATCCAGTGGAAGAAATATTTTGTCGTATGAATATAATATCAGCCTAAGTTGATTCATTAATAGATAATTTGTAAGAACGAAAAATATTTCTCTCCAAATTAATGAATTTACAAATTCGATAAATTTGATTATTTTGACTGATGTAATTGAATTGATAAAAATTATTTCGGATAATAAATTGTCGTATTATTTCTAGCGGATGCTTAAAAGAATATCGGATTATAAAGATTCTGTAGTGATAAAATACTAATTTTGACGATAGAGAATAATCATCGTTCCTTTTTAATCAAATTGTGTTATTTTTGTATAGGATAAGATACCATTTTCTTTGGATAAAAATCCAGTGGAAGAGAAGGAACTCGAAACGTTGATACGTCAGATTATACGGTACTCCGTGAAAACGAGCAATCCGCATTTTCATAATCAACTCTACGGTGGCGTTGACGAATACGGGCTAGTTGGCTCCTGGTTAACGGAGGTCTTGAACACTAGCCAGTAAGTATCAAGCTGTATTAATAAATACTTAATGCTGAGCAATAATGAACAATATTTTTTCCACACACGTTCGCAAAATATAACATCATCTGGTACTTTCGAGACAACGTGATAAATAATCAAAGCTATTACATAACTATTGTCATATCGCTAATCTGCTAACATTGCATCTCAGACGACGCATGACTTATCGCACAACCGCAAATAACACATATTAAATCCTTATCATCGCTAAAAAAGTTTGATTTCATTTAAAAAATAAAAATGAAATATTAGATTAGGCTCTCTTTCGTACTAAATGCTTTTAACAAGTTACAAAAATAATGCTGCCTAAAAATAAAGTACAAAATAAATAATAACAAAATAAATAATAACTAAATAAATAATAACTACAATTATATAATAAATATATTCTTGCTAGGTACACATTTGAAGTCGCGCCCGTATTTACTTTAATAGAGCACGAGGTGATAAAGAAATCGTTACAGCTGGTGGGCTATCCATCGATGCCGCTTGCCGATGGTATAATGTGTCCAGGTGGTAGTATAGCAAACATGTACGCGATGATGATGGCCAGACATATGAGATTTCCGGAAGCCAAAAGATCGGGCATCTGTTGCTTCGGGAAATCTCTAATCTGTTTGACCAGCGAAGACGGTCATTACTCGATCTCGAAAGCTGCCAATTGGCTAGGTATAGGCATCGATAATGTTTGTAAGGTACGAATATCATTCAATCTCTGAATATTATACCAATATGCAACTATATATTTTTTATTAAGTATCATCACATTCTGTTTTTTTAAGAAAGAGAAAAGAAATTAGAAAATTACATTATCTTTTGTAAATGTATATCGAACAACGTCCAGAAATATTTTTCGCAAACTAAGAATATTACATTAATTTTGCTTATCAAATATAAAAAATTATTTATTTTTAACATTAAAAATAAAAAATATAATTGAATGAAGTTTAGATTAGATTCTGTAACTACGCTGATTGTACAAGAATATATTCTTGGAGAGTAAATTTTTTTATCGCAGGTAAAGACAGACGAGTATGGTCGCATGAAAGTGGATGACCTAAAGGAAGTTATAAAAAAGATGAAGAATGACGGACACTTACCGTTTTTCATAAACGCCACTGCCGGTACTACTGTTCTCGGAGCTATTGATCCATTGCTGGAAATCGCCGAGATCTGTCGCAGCGAGAACATCTGGTTACACGTAGACGTTCGTATAAATTGTATGAGAGTTGTTAGCTCGAGAAGCGACGTAATCTAAATTAGAGATCTCTTGTGCAGGCTTGTCTCGGTGGCAGTTTGCTGCTTTCGGAGCAATATCGAAGTCGACTACGCGGCATCGAATTGTTTGTAATTGTTTTTTTACCAACGCTATCGAGGAAGAAAAGCGATGAGTGTTCAAAATTGACGTAGCGATTATTTGCAATCGAAATCATCACTAGTCGTTACGTAAATCAATATTATCCGCATAATTTATTCGAATTGAAAGAACTTTGCTCTCAAGAAAATGTTAAGCAATATTTGTTATCAACTAAACAAGTGGAAAAAGACACAGACTTTCCTTCCTCGTGCGTTAAAAATACCAACTTGAAATAATTAATCAGCACGTAACAGTTTTCTTTGATTAAGTATTGTTCTATGACGCTACTCGTTTAGATCGAACTCGGTTGCCTGGAATCCACACAAGATGCTTGGAGCGCCGCTACAATGTTCCCTGTTTCTGGTCAAAGGTGAAAAAACATTGCACAAAGCGAATTGTTATAAGGCGTACTATCTCTTCCAACAGGATAAATTTTACGACATCAGCTGGGATACAGGTGATAAAAGCGTGCAATGCGGCAGAAAGGTAATTACAAGTTATTATCTTTTCGACATATTGTAATATTTAATCTCATTAAAAGTTAAAGATTTTATTCATACATATGCATATATAT